CTGAAGTATAACCTAACACGTGGTACCAAACCTTTAACAATATACTATAACCACAACACAAAGCCAAGCATCAAAAAACCAATGCACTGTATACTGCTTAAATAGAATTCTTTTATTTCATTTATTAAAGCATTAATAAATAATTAAACTGTGCCATTTGTTTAAATAGGTATGATATGACAGACAATGACATTATCATCATTATTTTGTTCAGCGCCAGACTATATACTACCACTTGTTCATCTTTGAAAAATGATTTCAAGATTCATCTTGTTGATAAAAATCATATTTTTACTTATTAGAATTAGCAAACATATATCATCGTATAACTAGAATAATAAAACAATTGTAACGAATTATCTAGAAATAAAATATTTTTACACTTTACCTTAAACAAAAACATGTTTTGGATATATTAAACTATACAATTTTTAATTAATCATGATTTAACCTTTTCGCTTTTAATTATTTTATTAACGCAAATAATTTTTTATTTTATTAAAATATTTGCTATTTGATCCCATAATTGGTAAATGTCAGATGTCCAGAAAACGTCCGAGTTCGGACGTCCAGGGGACGTCCTAGTATGGACGTCCATGGAACGTCCGGGTACGGACGTCCAGAGAACGTCCATATTTAGTCCACCCAAAGTACGTCCCACTTCGTACGTCCATAGTACGTCCATTTTACGTCCAGGGACGTCCGGACCAAAACTGGACGTATATTGGACGTCCATAGGACGTCGTGTGTTACTAGGGTTTAGTCTTGTATTGAAGGATTTTAATTTATTACCCTTAGCATACGTAAAGATATAAAAAACGAGTTTATCTCGTACTTTTTTTAAGTAAGACGCAATATTTAATTACTTAATATTATTCTTACAGCATAACTAATAAACCAAGTATAAAACTTATACTGAGAATAATTCAGGTATAGGCAAAATCTTTACCAATAAACACGGAATAACTTAGATATAGGTTATACTTGATATAAGAATTTATTCCAAGATTATACCAACCCGCACCCTAGTTTAAGTCTGGTATAACGGTATAACCTATTTTATAATAATGTGAAAGTCATCAGTGACAAGAATATATTATTTTTTGTATTATTTTGTGAGTAGCTATTTAATAAAAAAAAAATGTTTTAAGATGTGTTGCGGCTGTCGAGGATGTTAATAATTTAATTAACATGATGGAAAATACACCAAAGAGAAAAACTTTTAAAGAAAGAATAAATCGCTTTTCAAAACACTGATAGGGAATTTAGAATAAAATATCGGTTTTCTAAAGGCGGTGTAAAGTTTTTTGCAATTTTTAAATACTCAAACTCAACATATAAGATAAAGCTGGATTTATAGTTTGACGGACTGTAGACGCAGACGCACTGGAAAAAGATCAACATAGACTTTTGTGTACTCCTATTTATAAATGAACGTAAACGCAAGACAGGACGTAAGCGTAACGCACTGTAACGGAAGAGTTGGTCAACTTTCAACTTTTAAGCTGGATTTATAGTTTGACGTACTGTAGACGTAGACGCACTGGAGACGTAAGAAACGGACTGTATATATTTTTTCAATTTATAAATGGACGTAGTGGAATTTTTGCGCATGAGTAAAGACAAGAATTGGTGACCCACAACCATAGATAAATAATATAGTATTGACCCACAACATTCAATATAACCTATAAATTATACAATTATAGGAATCAGAATTCATAATAAACAAAGGGTGTGTGTTTATACTTCTGTTTATTATATTTTTTTTATCCTTTTTGCGTGTTAGAATGGATTGTGAAATATACGAAGGTATGCTCCTTGGCGCTGTAGGATTGCTGCTGTGTGCAGTAGCATTGCAAAAAACTAGAAGGACAATAATAAGGCGACCAAGACGTTATAAAACAAGACCAATAAACCGTAATAGAAAAATAGAGAATGCTTATAATTATTTTTTAAAGATGAAGACAGCAGATCCAGATCAATTTTTTAAGTATACAAGAATGACTGTTCCAGTATTTAATGAATTATTAGGTCTTGTAAAAAGTAAAATTTCCAAGAGAAGAATAAAAGACGGGATATCAGAAGAAGAAAGGCTTGCCATAACATTGCAGTAAGTAATTTAGCTTATTTGTTAGATAAATATCTCAATATTATTCAAACAAAAAACTCTTCTCAACAGATTCCTATCACAAGGAGGAAGCATGCAAAGTTTGGCATGGCATTATCAAATGGGCTTAACAACTGTTCATAAAATTATTAATGAAACTTGTAATGCAATATGGGAGACACTTTCTCCAAATTATCTGAGAAGTCCTTCATCTACCCAAGATTGGAAGAATATTGCCAAGAACTTTTTTGATCTCTGGAATTTTCCCAATTGCATAGGCGCCTTAGATGGGAAACACATAAACATACAAGCTCCTGCAAAAACTGGCTCACTTTTCTTTAATTATAAGAAAACTTTTAGCATCGTATTGATGGCAGCTTGTGATGCTAAGTATGTGTTTACTTTGGTAGATATTGGTGCCTATGGATCTCAAAGTGATGGGGGTATTTTTAAACATAGTGTGTTTGGTAAGCGCCTTGAGTCAAAAACATTAAATGTGCCTTTGCCTTCTGAAATTCCCAACACTGACATTAAATTTCCCTATGTGTTTGTTGCTGATGAAGCATTCCCCCTAACAGACTACATAATGCGTCCATATGCAAAGAACAACATGACACTGACACAGCAGATTTTTAATTATAGACTTTCGAGGGCGCGCAGAGTTATTGAAAATACATTTGGAATTTTAGTTGCCAGATGGCGAATTCTCAAGCAAACCATAATTGCAGATGTAAAAAATGTGGACAGTATTGTAAAAGCATGTGTGGTTCTCCATAATTTTTGCATGATCAAAACTGAAGGGACAACTGATACAACTCATTATTGCCCTCCCGGCTATGTAGATTGTGGAGATGAAGAAAATGCCATATGGCGGAAAGAAATTGATGAACCACTCCAGTCAGTTGGACGTTTATCCACCAACAATGCTAGACGGATAAATATTGAGTCACGAAATACCATGACAAATTATTTTGTATCACCTCAAGGAGAAGTTCCGTGGCAATTAGAAAAAGTATTAAGAGGAAGAACACTCCAATAGTCATAGTCATACTTTATAGATCCTTTAAGACATTCAACAATTAAGACAGTCACTACAGAACTCAGTATAAAAAACATTAATGTGTATAATACAATATTCACAGTGTAACAAAATTAACAACATAAAATAACATTTTTACAGTAAAATATGAAGCTACTGCAGTTTGTTGTCAAGATATTCATTTATAGAATAATATTCTTTTCTTAAGAGTAAATCTTTAACATTTTTTTTATTTAGAGGAAAGTGATACATATTTCTTTCACAGTTTTTGGCAAATGATTATATAGGGTCAGTCCCATATATCTGAAGCAATTTTGATATTCTGTGTTTAGCAACTTCTAAAGATTCAGCACTTCTTGTATTGTAATAGTGATTGTCTGAATTTACTGGAAATGTATTGATTTCCTCTTTTACATAGAGTAAACATTTGTAGATATATAGGCAGTACTAGGCTTATTTTTTAGTTGATCAATTGTATTTTTTATTTCAATTGGAGTTAAGGGTAAAAACAAAAATGTTTTGTTAGGTACACATTTTTGAGGTAATACAAGAAGGTAATGATGTGCCAAAATGAGGTTGAAGATTGTATTCTGCAATTTTGTAGCAAAATATGAGTGAAACAAATTAGCAATATCACAAGACTTTTTAATAATTTTATTATCATAATGTAGAATAATATTAGACCTGTTCTTTTGTCTACCAGTTTCACTGTTTACTAAATTCCAAATTGTTTTTGGTATATTGTAAGATTGATTAATTAATTAAGTCATTATGAAAGTTTTTTTAGTATTTATTAATAGAGAATTATATTCTTTTTTTGCCTGTTTATAGGTATCTTGAGACTTCCTATATTTTTTTGCTATCCAGTGTAGATTTTTTAGTTTTTCACTAGCGTGTCTTAACTCATTTGTTACCCATGTAGCCTTATTTGTTTTATGTGCTTTATACTGTGTTTTTATTGGACAATACAAATTTAGATTGTAATATAAAATGCTAACAAATGGGTCTGTGGCATATTCAGCATTCAATTGTAAATATACCTCATTAAAAACTGTAGAAGAAATCCTTGCTTTAACCATCAATATATTTTCATCTGAAATATCCCTGTAACTGATGGGTTTTTATCTTTAATGGGTGAGAAATCGCACAGCACTCACACACCATTTCTTCACTAAAGTTAGAGACATCTAATGTTTTGAATTTAATATCAGTTTTGATGTAGATGATGAATCCTCCATGGATATGGAACTTTCGACAAAAATAAGAGGCGATGTTGTATCTATTCAGGGTCATAAATTGGATGTTTTCTTCAGTACACCAATGTTTTGATAGACAAATTATATCAGGTGTTTCCAGCAATGTTAAGACTTCAACTTGAGTAACTTATTTGTCAAAGATTGAGCATTTAGTTGCAATATTTTTAAACAACTGGCTAATGATGATAAAAGTAACGATTCTCTTGGATTTACTTGACTAAAAGAGTCTAGTGTATCTTCTCCAGTTGTCAGACCTCTATTGTGATGCTCTCAATTAAAAATCTTCTTCTAATCTAAAGTTAAATTATTCAATGCCAATTTTTTTCAGCCAAAAAGCTGGATTATAAATTTCTTCCCTTAAGTCACGTAGTACACCTATCATAAAACATTGATAATCGCTTCTTTTATGGTCAGTTGGTAACAATGTTACTTGTATGTCCTCACAGTTTATCTTAGTTATTATGAAACTCTTGATGTGGTTCGCATTTACCCTATCCGGAACTTTTGAGATAAAAGAAACAAATAAAAATTAAATAAACATGCATTTTGTGTAATATTTTTTATTAAAAGATAATATTTACAAAAACTATATATCTTAATCATCATCTTCTAAAACTTCAAGAAGTCTCCGTCTTTTGTGTTTTTGTTGCTCAGGAGTCATTTCTTTTAAAACACTAGCAATGTACTCTCCCAATGTATCTGCTGAAGTTTTTGGCTGTCTCTTCTGTCCAGTCAGATGTTGTAAATGTTGAGTGATGGACTTAGCAGCATCAATTATCTGAAGAGATGGCTCAGGTCCATTTAAGTTTTTTCTTTTTTTATTTTTTTCTATAATGAACACAATGTATTAAATCCAATGAAAATGTATTTATATTGTATAAAATAAACATTTATAAAAGAACATTTAATATTTTTTTAATAGATGGCAGTACCTGAATTTCAATGCATTTAGGTCAAATCTATTTGACCTACATACCCAACTGATTTTGTGTGTATAATTTTGACAGAACGAATTAAATTCAATTGTTAATATTTATTCTGAAAAATATGTTTGTCTGTTTTTTGTGTTTATAGAGTCAGTAAATATAAATAATATTAGAGTTGATTCTTTTAATAGTATAAAAATTGCGAGATATTTTTAATTTAAAATTAAATAATATTAAAAAACTTTGAAGCAAAGGACCAAATAGAATTTTTGTAGAATTTAATAATTATAATAGAGTAGTGAAAGGGGATAATTAAGCCTCACCTTTATCAGCAACCTGCGCCTTTTCTGAATTTACAGTGACTCTTTCATCCTCTGTCTCTTCCATCTGGATAATAATATTTTCCTCATACATTGAATGTGGAGACATTTGCATATTATAATCCTGTGTCGGACAGTCTAAGGTGCTTTCAACCATCGTAGAATTTGACCATGCACTGGAGCAGCTTGATGAGTCAAAAACTGGTGACTGTAAAGGTGGAGCATGTTGATTTGGGGCTGTCATTGTTTTTACATCTTCTGTTGTTGTATGTGTACTAAAAAGTTGAGGTAATTTTTTACTTTCTCTGTTGTTTAAAATATAGTCTTTTTAAGGCCACAAATCATTTTCGTGATCTATGGTCAAAAATACATGTTTAAGTAATCCTGTACTTACTTTCTGGGCTTAATGTATTTATTAAGAAATGACAATGAATCGAAGTACTCCCATTGTGGGGTAACAGGAGCTCCGGAACCAGAAGGCAACGCTTTCTTCTCCCTTCCATACTTGTTTCGTAAATTCATCCAAATTCTCTGGCAATCTTTCACTGAAAAAGTATAATGCAAAAAAACATTTACTAGTAGTACAAAACTGCAATTAGGCAGTTTACTTCGAATTACACAAGAGAAACATACCCGACATTTGAAGTTCTTCGGAAATTTTCTTCCAACTGTTTAATTTCATTTCTTGGTCTTTAAAGTGCTTGTTGCATTTATCATAGATGTGTGGGTAACCCCGAATTAGACCAATTAACAACTCATATTTATCTGAAATATTGAAATTATTAAATATTATTATTCAGGGCTGCTACAAATAAGATTAAATGGGCAAATGTAATGGCCAACGTCCTTAAGGATAAGGCACCGTAAGAAGAAGATTGAAATTATACTCTGATATCCTTTTATTATTTTATAAATTATTAACTTACCGTCCATTGTATCAAATAATCACCAAAATTCGAAAATATAAATAACAAACAAACGTAAACAACTACAAAATCAAAATGAAAGACCGGCCACGCTTTGGTTGACAACCGACAACACAAAATTCTTTCTTTTGATTGGTCAGACGTAAGAAACGCACTGTAAAGCTGGATTTATAGTTTGACGCACTGTAGACGTAGACGTACTGTAGACGTAACAAACGGACTGTAAATATAATTTCAATTTATAAATCGACGGAGTGGAATTTTTGCGCATGAGTAGAAACATTGGCTAGAGTTGGTGACCATGATATTATAATACCATTTTATTATTTATTATTATTATTTTATAAATTCTTAACCTCCATTGTAACAAATAATCAACAAAATAAAAATTCGACTACGTTAATAAGCAACTTTACAAAATTGTGGGCGTGTCAGACAGTTCATTTTGGTTGACAGCACAAAATTCTTCCTCTTGATTGGCCAGACGCAAGTAACGCACTGTAAAAGTTGAAAGTTGACCAACTCTTCCGTTACAGTGCGTTTCGCTTACGTCCCGTCTTGCGTTTACGTTCATTTATAAA